AAACAAATATATTTTTATGAAGTGCAATTAAAAGGAGGATAAGGGAATGCTGTTGTATTTTATTCCATATTTACTTACTTAAGTCAACATGTCTGATACTCAATATCTCAAGAGTTATTAGGTATGATAATTGAAGATATTTACTAAGCTTCAGGAGTTTGGTACTAGTTGTAAACTAGTTTACAATTCATGAATGAATTGGATAATTGGGATTATGCAGTATCTTTACCTGCTTCCATCATATTTATATTCCTTCCCACTTGTTACTAGAAGCCATTAACTAACGAACTATGATGAGCACATAGACTCCAAATAAGACCAATTTTGTTTGGAAGGAAATACGAAATGATCTTATATTATGATCTAGTTTATTATTTTTGAAATCAACCTGTATTGCTATTATTTTTACAGTCATCTAATGAAGATAACAATACGTAGACTTTATGCATTGTATAGATAGAGTGTATAGTTTTTCTTCATCAATTAAATTTATATAGATTTTCTTAATGTAAATAATGAAAAAAGTTTCTAATCCTCAGATACAAAGCAACTGTATTTTCCATTGAATGGATTTTTTTTCTTACCACCCTTGGCATTTTCTTAAGTTTCTTATTTTTTCTCCATTAATGTTACGAGAAACTCAAGAACTTTATTTCAGATTCGGCAGATTGGAATACAAAAAGTATTTCAGTGGCTTAATTCATATATTGTTCAATCAATCATCACTGTTTTATTGAATGAGTCAAAGGCTGGGCTCAAGCAAAATAGTAAGACAAAACAAATAAACCAGACAGTGTCCTAACATATTATATGTGTGAAATCACTTAATGTTATTCATCCAACAGTTAGCAAACCTTAGTTTAGCACAATGTACAAATTAAATTGTTAAGTTCACCTGAATCCTGAACAAATTACTGCCCCAGTCTATTCTGATTAAATTGTTCATGTTCTTATTACACCTAATTATCAGTCTATAATATAAGCTACACAAAATTCCACGGCTTCTTTTTTAAAAAGTCAAAATAAATGCTCAAATTTGTAACAGATTCAGTATATTTTCAAACATGACAGTTATCTTTAATTTAGAGAAATTACTATGCTACATCATTATAAATGTCTAGAATGTATGTTGTAATGCAATTATAACTGTCTTAAAGTGTGTTAGGATGTTTTATGTACACATACACAAACATTTTTAGATGGCGACCATAAAATTAAGGACAGTTAAAAAATATATGAATAAAATAAATATGCCTTCTCAGGACCATAGATCCACAAACAATTTCTTGTCTTAAGCCAGGAAAACTTTTCATTTTTGAGAAATTATATTAATCACAAAAAACACCACACCTTACTTATTCACCATGCTTATTAAGCCATATTGTTATATCATGTATCCTTTAAACCTTGGTTAATTTCATTAGAACTTGCATTAATGTTTACTGTGATATCTGCAAGAGAGTGAAAAAATAGTGCATTAGTAATTGACAATGAATATATAGAAATACATTCAACTGATGAAAAGTGAATGCTCGCTCTTCATAAATAACTGATAACATAAAAGTAGGTTAAGAAATAGTCTTAAGACCATTGTAAAAATTGTAGTTATTTGGGAATGGGTTTTCTTATTAATAGCATACTCTCTCATACATACCAAGCCTCCAAGTAACAGATTGCCATTTTCAAAAAGCCATGTTAAGCACTTACTATGTTGTCTTTGGAGAGCTAGGCAAAGGGTCTTTTTTCCCTATCTCAGGTTTTTAAATTTCAATTAATTTAAATTGTGTCTTATTGGTCTTCCTAAACATTGGCAGGGAGGCAACCATTCTAACAAGGAAAGAGAACTGATCTGGAATATAAGCAGCTGAGAAGACTTTTTAATGTGCACAGCTTCCTATTTGGGGAGGGATTCTGGAAGAGAATTCTGGATATTCTCTGCTATAAAATAGAATATGATACCATACTGAATTATCTGCCTGCATTCTCAAATGCTTTCAACCTTGATTTATTGCTATTTGCATACAGTATTAAACAGCAGGCATGACCTCTATTACTTTCAAATATGCATTTATTAACTAAGAAATAGAAAAAATAACAATCCCAATCTTGCTGCCTTTTGGAAAGCTGCGAAGATAAGCTTGTGTACCCAGGCCTGGGATCCCAAGTGTGTTGAGAGTGCCATTTCCTAGCTGTATACCGTTTATAGTAATAGTTTTACTTGGTGCCATGTATATTTAATTTGTATTGTAATTGTTTTTGTATTTTACGATGTACCCTGCAATCACTTGTTGAGATTGATGGCTACATAAATCAAATAATTAAAGGTGTTCATTTTTTCACTGGATAACTTGATGAAGGTAAATTAGCCTAAAAGAAAGCACAAAGTGTCAACACAAACCTTAAATGACTTCTCATTGTTATGATTGGTATCAATAGGGAAACAATTTCCAAACACTTCAGCAGCCTCACTTGGTTTGTTCACAAATATGACTGAGCAAAATCTAAAAACAATAAAATTAAAATGAAATAAGCAAGCAATAAATAACAGAAATAAAAATTTACCTAAATTGATACAAAATAATACTTATGTTTTCTTGACATTGTAATTACTTTGGATTCATTTACCTGATTATAAGTAACAAGCACAGCAGAAAAGTTCATATTAAGATTTTAAAATTAACCTTATGAATTAAGCAAGTTATGAAACTAATTGCAAGTCAATAATGAATTCTTGGGACAAACACTAAAATCAAGGGATACATTGGTTCTCAGTCCACAGATAAAGGGTTGCAATTAAGATAACCCCCATAATAAGGAGGAAAACAATGTTGCATTCACAGTAAAACTGTACATTGCTTGCAGTTTTGGAAGTGGCAGGTATAAGGTTTTAAGCATTTTAAACCTACGTAATCACCGAGAGTGTTCGGAAACCTGAAGCTGCAATGTCCCATTTGATGAAAGGAGAATCTAGAGTTCTAGCCAAATCTTTCCCTCTCTCGATACTATGCCGCAACTATAGAGATTCCAGAGATCAGAACTAGTTCTCAGTTTAGCTCAAATAAAAACTAATACAAACTAATACAATACAAAAAGAAAAACAAAAGAACCTGCAGAAAAAGGAAAACAAAAGAAAAAAAACACAAATAAAGTGACTTCCAACCTTCGTCACCCCAACCATAAACTAATATCGGTTTTCAGCTATTTTTAAAGTTACAAATAAAAAACACTTCTCCCATAACTTAACTTTTATCTATACGCAGAGAAATTCCCATTTTTCAGTCCAGCAAAAAGTCCATTACAAATTTCCCAAAATATCAAATATCAAAAATACTGAAGTTTATCCCAAGTCAAATAGTCCAATTTCATATTCTTTTGTTCCATACAATCTCGACCATTAAATCATTGCTATGGCATTCCAGGATTTAATCTTTCATCACCCTTTAGCATTTAAAGGAGTCTTCAAAGACTACTTTGTAAATTCCATAAAGAGGCATTGTTCAGAATTTATTCCTGAGGTTCCACATCCAGATCCTTTCCTTAATTTGTCTTTTGAATTCGCAGTTTGGTAATCTCAATTTTATTGTCTTCCATGCCTTCAAACTGCCGCAGGCAGCAGAAGTAACCAGCAGTACTGCATTCTCAGCACTGCACCACCACGGCTCATGTTCCTCTAGGGTCCATTTTGCAACCTGTATCAGTTCCTGATACCGTTTAGATCTTTCAATTATTTCCCACAAATGTATTATATACTTATATTATTTAATTACATTCATGTTTTTTAGACCTTTGAGCAAGAATCACCAATATTCCAAATCTCTCTGGTATCCCAATTTGTTTAAAATTTTCTTAAGTATTTTTTTTTCTTTTTGCCAATTACATATTAAATCCTCAAGCTTCTGTGTAAAAATTCTTAAATCCGAAGAAGGTAAAACACACCAGGTGTCAAATTAAGCTTGCTGTTTTAAAGGTCCCTAACATCCATAAAGTGGTTAAATTGAATATTTATGAATGTGATTAGAAAATGAGTTTGGCTAGCTTAGTGTCTTTATTAAAAGATCCAGCAGCTGCTGAGAGAAAAGGTGCCATCTTGCTTGGGTCCTGGTACTCAAACTTGTGAAAGACTGATGTTTTATGGTTTCCTCATGAGGAGCTGCCATTAGCGTACTTGTGGGCTATCTCCAATTCTCTCCAAAGAAACTAGAGAGATTCAATGGACCAATCTACTCATTGGTCCTTCATTTTTCATACTGGTTGCCTCCTCTCATTTTCAGATATGTCTTCAGTTAACCATGATAAATATCAAAGCTTTACAAACATCAACTGTAATAATTAAAGGTATAACATTTTGGTGCTTCTCATGTCTGCGGAAGATGGCTTTGTAATATGCTTTTCTGTGTTCTTTCAACTCCTGTTTCAGCTACCCATATCATTTCAAGTTTAATAAGAAAATACAAACTTCTAGACAAGACCTACATCATATAAATACCTTTTAGAAAGGCATGTGAATGTGAACTCTAATATTCCAAAAAATGAGGAGAAACCCCTCTTGAAAAAATATTTAGTGCTAAAAGGAGTTAATACAGTTGATTATTCTAACTTGGTTTATCTCATCACCATAAGATGATCAAGTGAATGCTTCCTGCTGCAGAAGCTACTGGAAGTGGCGGCAATTTCCTGAATGCAAGCTCACACAATAAATAACTAGGGAGAGTTGACATGAATTTCACTGGGGATTTTTTAAAAAGCCCCTCACAAATGAATATTGGGAAACAGTACTAAATGAAAGATGTCTTTATTTCTTGGAACATTTCTAAAATAATGGATTACTGGCCCAAAGTGGGTTGTTCTCATAAGAATTGACTTAGTGAAGCATAGTGACTTTGATCAGGAAGACTTCAAACTGAATTCTGTGGGAACTGAAATGAAAAGGCCGAACCAAGGACCTAAGATAAAGATTTAGGAAGACTGTTAAAACATTCAGTAAAAATAAACAAACAGAATATTTGCTTATTAAGTCCCTGACCTTCATTGTCTAATGTTCCCAGTATGGAAAATAAGAAAGATGAACTTAACATCTTAGTACAGAAAGGCAAACGTGACTTAAGAGAAATCCGCAGTAGGATGACTCACATGACTGTATCTTGTAATTATTGTATTCTAATGTATTAAGAGAGACTGAAGCAATAGAAAAGTAGAAGAGTTCCACTTCATGTTAAAAATAGACATATTTGCACAAAAATGCATTTGAATAAACAATACCATCAGGAGCAAATGAAAAATAAAAGCAATATTGTTGGCTTTATGGGTGGTACTTTCCAGTCTTCAAGTAGTAACAGTGATTTATGTTTTTTATTATCTCAATAGAGGTAGTCCTCAACTTAAAACTCACAAATGAACCCAAAATTTTGGTCATAAGTCTTTATGGTGATTAAGTAAGACACTCGTGATCTATTAGCTCAAAGAATATAATTCTTGTTGGCTTCATAAACCATGCAAGAATCTGCCTTTTTTGGTGTGGCTCCTGGAGGCAGGCATAAGGATCAGCACAATGCCAAATGCCTGGCTTTTTATCACAACGGCAGGGATGCTGCAATGATTATACATTCAAGAAGGGTTCCTAACTTTTTTCATTCAGTACTATCATAATTCTGAATAGTTGCTAAACAAATATAAGTTGAGTATTACCTGGATTGGTATGACACAAATTCTACCAAGCAAAACAATCAGGAATCTAGCAGCACCAATTAACAAATTTTAATAAAAGACAAACACTTCCATGAGCTGCAGCTTGTTTCATTGCATTCTCAACTGATAAAAGTGTATACCTTTTAATAAAATTCTTAGTTGGAAAAAATATTATAATATTCTTCTGCTTTTTGCTGCTATAAACTAACAACAAACTATGTCAGGAAAGATCCTTAACAAAATTTCCAGCAGTTTTTGTGCTGACTGTTTTCAGGCAATGGAAGAAGATACAATTTGCATACTGGATTTTAAGAAAACATATTTTAATAAAGAGCAAAAGTAATTCCATAGCAGAAGCTTATGGGAAGAGTTTGAGATTCAGGGGAGTTCCTTTAAAAAAAATATTAAAAATACAATAGCAAAAAGAGTACCAAAGAAGGGAGAAAGGATAGTAAACAATACAAAATGAGTAAAGATCTAAAATCAACATATATATAGGCGGTGAGAAATAAGATAGCTCAGCAAGGAATAGTACTCATAATCCTAAATTATAGAGATGCTAGAACAACAGCTAAAGCTCAGAGAATGAAAAAGGAAAAAAAGGAGAGGGGAACCCTTCTTCAGATGTCTCCAAAATAAACTAATTAGTCTTTATTGATATCTTCATGGAACAGTTATCTGTTATTTTTCAATTTATTTTGAAGATAATCTGAAAAATAGTAAGTGTGTAGTGATTGAATAATTCTAATTTTCTTTACGGGGTCAATTTGTTTTTGTTTTTTTTAAAGATAACAATTCCAATAATCAATTCTTAAAAACTGAAGAAGCAGAACTGAAAGAATTACAGCCATGGAATTTCTATTTACTTTTAATTGGTTTAATTTTTTGAAGTCAGAAAATTGAATTATGGAGTATTACAGGAAGTTGCTCATGGTTTGGCCAAATAATTGTTATCTATTATTATGTTTGAGAAATACCAGAGAGGAAATGTAGTATCAAATGATTGAAGGAGGGCATATGTTATTCCAGTTTTCAAAAAAAAAAAAGAAGTCCTGTACTCTTAAACTTTTTGTTAAAAACAAAAGAATGAAGATGTATCTTACATTCTAATCTATCAAATTTGCAGATGACATAAACTCAGTGAAATAATATCTCAAAGTCAGAAAACAATCTTGATAGGTTAGAGAAATGGGGAAACAATAACAGAATGAAATGTAAAAAAGATAATTATACAGTATTTTACTGAGGAAAAAAATTAAATGCAGTTATAAGATGGGGAATATCTGTCTTGACGGCAATACTTGTGAAAGAAAGTTTGGAACAGTTATTTATCAACTAATTAAATATGAACCAGCATCAGGTTGATTTTGCAAGAAAGGAAAAGAAAAAGCAACTATTTTCAAGTATAGTTTTCAAATCAGACAAGGTAAATATTTCACCTGATAATGCATCCAACCCATGAGTATTCCATTTTGGGCCCCAATCCATAGAAAGGTTTTTAAAAATGAAATAGGTATAGAAAACAGCAACAAGAATAATCAAGGATTACAATTAAATTTAGGAAAGCTATAGTGAACATACAAAGAATGCGCAATTTTGAGAAGACCGAAGACATCATAGAGAAACCTGTTTTCTATCATCTCAGAGTATAGGACATGAATAATGGATTTAAGTAACAGGAAGCAGATTTGGACTGTTGGTAAAACAGTAAGACCAGTTTTACAAATGGAACCAAATACCCAGAGAGTGGTGGACTTTTTAGCAGAGGCTGAATAAAACATGACATGGATGCTTTAGTTGATTTCCAGCACTGAGC